CTGCACTCCAGTCTGGGTGACAGAGTGAGACTCCAACTCAAAAAAAAAGAAAAAGGAAAACAAAAACGAAGATTCAGGTTTATGTATTCTTGAATGTTGCAAGCATTTCTGTAAACCTTTCTAAAGATAGAGAGTAAACTCTATTGAAATTTTATTTGTGATTTTTAGTGACCCAGGCTGGAGTGCAGTGACATAATCATGATAATCACAACTCATGGCAGCCTCAACCACCTGGGTTCAGGTGATCCTTCCACCCCAGTATCCCGAGTAGCTGGGACTACAAGTGTGCATCACCACACCCAGCTAAGTTTTTTCTTTTTCTTTTTTCTTGAGTTGGAGTCTCACTTTGTCGCCCAGCTGGAATGCAGTGCCACACTCCCGGCCACTGCAGCCTCGACGTGCTGTGCTCAGGTGATCCTTCCACCTCAAACTTCCAAGTAGCTGGAACTACAGGCGCGTGCCACCATACCCGGCTAATTTTTTATTCATTTATTGTAGAGATGAGGTCTAGCAAAGTTGCCCAGGCTGGTCTTGAACCCGTGGGCTCAGGCAATCCTATCACCTTGACCTCCCAAACTGCTGGGATTAGAGGTGTGAGCCACTGGCTATTTTTATTTTTTATAGGTGAGGTCTCGCTATGTTGTCCAGGCAGGTCTTGAACTCCTGGGCTCAAGCAATCCACCCACCTCAGCTTCCCAAAGTGCTGAGATTACGGGTATGAGCCACCACACCTGGCCGAAAATCTATTTAACAAATGTAAAGTGGGTGCCCAGTGTGCGTCAAGAGCTGCCCTGGTGCTGATACTCAACAGGACCTCAAGCAGCAGGACCAGCAGCCAGTCTTTAAGGCATTTACAGTCTAATGAAGAACAGAGACAGATTTTTTTTTTTTAAAGGCAATTATGGCCAGTCATGGTAGCTCACACCTGTAATCCCAGCACTTTAGAAGGCTGAGGCGGAAGGATTGTTTGAGTTCAGGAATCCAAGACCAGCCTAGACAGCATAGCAAGACTTCATTTCTACAAAAAAAATTTTAAAAATTAGCTGTGCGTGGTGACACACACCTATAGTCCCAGCAGGAGGATCACCTGAGCCCAGGAGGTCAAGGTGTCAGTGAGCTGTAACCATGCCACTGCACTCCAGCCCAGGTGACAAGAGTAAGATCTCAACTCAAAAAAGGGGGTGGGGCAATTGCAACCGGGAGTGATGAATATAATAATACAGGGGAGTAAAGGAGGCTGAGGGGACACTTAGAAGAAATCTGTTAAGTGGTTGTGGAGAACCCGGGAAGATGGAAAAGTAAGAAAAAGAGAACGAAGAGCTTGAGAATATAGTCGAGAGAGATGCTAATTGAGGAAGCAAAGGTGGCCAAGCAGGACTGAAGGCCCACTTGCATTTAAAGTTCCAAAAACTTGTAGAGGCACCAATTGGTGCAGTTGAGTGAAATTTATCTTTTTCACCCTCATTTCCCCACCCCAAGCACTTTTTTATTCTTCTCTTTGCTTTCCCTCCCCAATTCCAAGCGCTAGTATTGTTACATTCATCTACATTCTTTTTTTTTTTTTTTGAGTTGGAGTCTCACTCAGTCGCCCAGACTGGAGTGCAGT